ACAGAGCCCCCCAGAGAGAGAGAGGGGGGTAGAGCCACACAGAGCCCCCCAGAGAGAGGGGGCAGAGCCAGACAGAGCCCCCGGTGGACAGGTCACCTGACAGGGCCTCCACGGTGACGGGGGTCTGGCGGCGTGTCCCACAGAAGGCCCCCAGCAGGTTGCGGTCGGGGCGCACCACGCCGCTGGGCAGGAAGCGCGGCAGCCCCTCGAACACGTACACGTAGGAGCTCTGGGGCGGGACACAGGCCGCGGGTTAGTGACCCCCACTCCCGCACCGCACTGGCCCCCCACTCCTGCACCGCACTGCCCCCCCATCCACACAGTACTGCCCCCCCACTCCTGCCCCACACTGCCCCCCCACTCCTGCCCCACACTGCCCCCCCGTCCACACAGTACTGCCCCACACTGCCCCCCCCGTCCGCACCCCACTGCCCCGCCAGCGGCGTCACTCACCGTGCAGCGCGTGTGCGTGTCCGGGAGTATCGTCAGCGTGACGGGGGGGCAGGCGGGACCCGGCGAGCAGGACGACAGGTCCTCGGACACAGACAGCACCCAGAGGCAGTGAGACAGGCCCTGCCCCGCCCGGGCCGAGCCCCGGGACCCCAGCGCCGAGGAGGAGGGGGAGGAGGAGGCGCCCAGAAGGAGGGCGCGCCCCTGGCACTGCCGAAAACACGTCCCGTTGTCCCTGAGAGACAGACAGGGCCGCACAGACACAGAGAGAGACAGACAGGTACACACCTCCATTGATTCAGAGTTTTGACAAAGGCTGTCGTACAGACATTGAGCACACAGAGAGACAGGCAGGCAGACAGGTGGCACAGAGGGAGAGACAGGCGAGACAGGCAGGCAGACAGGTGTCACAGAGGGAGAGACAGGCGAGACAGGCAGGCAGACAGGTGTCACAGAGGGAGGGGCAGGCGAGACAGGCAGGCAGACAGGTGTCACAGAGGGAGAGACAGGCAGGCAGACAGGTGTCACAGAGGGAGAAGCAGGCGAAACAAGCAGACAGAGAGACAGGCGGGCAGACAGGTGCCACAGAGAGACAGGTAAGTAACACAGGCAGACAGGTGTTGGACAGTGACAGGAAACACAAGCAAACAGGAAGACAAGTGTCAGAGGCAGGTAAGTAAGACAGAGACAGACCGGTGTGCGGCACTCATACCTGGGGTCTCCGTAGTAACCGGAGACGCACCTCTCGCAGTGCGGCCCCTCGGTGTAGTGTGTACAGTAGCACTCCCCCGTGGTGTTGTCACAGTAACTGCGGGAGGGGTCACCATGGCCGTTACACTGACACGGCACACAGCCTCCCTTCGACACCGCGCTGCCAAAACTGCCAGGGCTGCAGGCCTGGCACCGAGAGCCCATCGTCCAGTCTGAGAGAGAGAGCGGTTAATACAGACACCGAGAGCCCACCGTCCAGTCTGAGAG